TATCGAATGCACACTGATGTACATACTACTAGCATGAAATGGCATTAAATGAACACTGATGTGTATATTAACAACATCAAATGCACACTGATGTACATACTAATAACATGAAATGGTATTAAATGAACATTGATGTGTATATTAACAACATCAAATGCACACTGATGTACATACTAATAACATGAAATGGTATTAAATGAACTTTGATGAATATATTAACAACATCGAATGTACACTGATGTACATACTAATAACATGAAATGGTATTAAATGAACTTTGATGAATATATTAACAATATCGAATGCACACTGATGTACATACTACTAGCATGAAATGGCATTAAATGAACACTGATGTGTATATTAACAACATCAAATGCGCACTGATGTACATACTAATAACATTGAATTGCATTAAATGAACATTGATATGTATATTAACAACATCGAATGCGCACTGATGTACATACTAATAACATTGAATTGCATTAAATGAACATTGATGTGTATATTAACAACATCGAATGCGCACTGATGTACATACTAATAACATTGAATGGCATTAAATGAACACTGATGTGTATATTAACGACATCGAATGCGCACTGATGTACATACTAATAACATTGAATGGCATTAAATGAACACTGATGTGTATATTAACAACATTGAATGCACACTGATGTACATACTAATAACATTGAATTGCATTAAATGAACACTGATGTGTATATTAACAACATCGAATGCACACTGATATACATACTAATAACATTGAATGATATTAAATGAATACTGATGTGTATATTAACAACATCGAATGCACACTGATGTATATACTAATGACATTGAATGGTATTAAATGAACACTTGTGTGTATATTAACAACATCGAATACACACTAATGTACATACTAATAACATTGAATGGTATTAAATGAACACTGATGTGTGTATTAACAACATCGAATGCGCATTGATGTACATACTAATAACATGAAATGGTATTAAATGAACATTGATGTGTATATTAACAACATCGAATGCGCACTGATGTACATACTAATAACATTAAATGAACATTGATGTGTATATTAACAACATCGAATGCGCATTGATGTACATACTAATAACATGAAATGTTATTAAATGAACATTGATGTGTATATTAACAACATCGAATGCGCACTGATGTACATACTAATAACATTGAATGGCATTAAATGAACATTGATGTGTATATTAACAACATCGAATGCGCACTGATGTACATACTAATAACATTGAATGGCATTAAATGAACATTGATGTGTATATTAACAATATCGAATGCACACTGATGTACATACCAATAACATTGAATTGCATTAATTGAACATTGGTGTGTACATACTAATAACATTAAATGAACATAGATGTATATATCAACATCGAATGCGCACTGATGTACATAATCGAATGTACACTGATGTACATACTAATAACATTGAATTGCATTAAATGAACACTGATGTGTATATTAACAACATCGAATGCGCACTGATGTACATACTAATAACATTGAATGGCATTAAATGAACATTGATGTATATATTAACAACATCGAATGCACACTGGTGTACATACTTATAACATTAAATGAACATAGATGTATATATCAATAACATCGAATGCGCACTGATGTACATAATCGAATGTACACTGATGTACATACTAATAACATTGAATGGCATTAAATGAACATTGATGTGTATATTAATAACATCGAATGCGCACTGATGTACATACTAATAACATTGAATGGCATTAAATGAACATTGATGTGTATATTAATAACATCGAATGCGCACTGATGTACATACTAATAACATTGAATGGCATTAAATGAACATTGATGTGTATATTAATAACATCGAATGCGCACTGATGTACATACTAATAACATTGAATGGCATTAAATGAACATATATGTGTATATTAACAACATCGAATGCGCACTGATGTACATACTAATAACATTGAATGGCATTAAATGAACATAGATGTGTATATTAATAACATCGAATGCGCACTGATGTACATACTAATAACATTGAATGGCATTAAATGAACATATATGTGTATATTAACAACATCGAATGCGCACTGATGTACATACTAATAACATGAAATGGTATTAAATGAACATTGATGTGTATATTAACAACATCAAATGCACACTGATGTACATACTAATAACATGAAATGGTATTAAATGAACATAGATGTGTATATTAACAACATCGAATGCGCACTGATGTACATACTAATAACATTGAATGGCATTAAATGAACATAGATGTGTATATTAACAACATCGAATGCGCACTGATGTACATACTAATAACATTGAATGGCATTAAATGAACATATATGTGTATATTAACAACATCGAATGCGCACTGATGTACATACTAATAACATTGAATGGCATTAAATGAACATTGATGTGTATATTAATAACATCGAATGCGCACTG